ATGCATGCATGGATGTGTGTATGTGTGTATGTATGTATGTATGTATGTATGTATGTATGCATGTATGTATGTATGTATGTATGTCTGTCTGTATGTCTGTATGTCTGTATGTCTGTATGTCTGTATGTATGTTTGTATGTAGGTAACGAGTGTTTTGTTTATATGTATGTATTCTTAGGCATTCCTTCTCAAGAAGATACTATCGTCGAACCAAAAGGTGTAGGCGTAGGCGCATGTTCAGCAGGAATAGGACCATCACGATCATGAAAAGCCAAAACCAGGCAGCCGACCTCATCATTCCAACATCTCGCATACCGATCCAGTCCCAATCGCCGAACATTGCTAGAAAGGAGGTGTGAAGGGCCCTGTCAAGTGTGCTGAAACTCTCCAGGTCTTGGCCGAAGAAGAGCAAGCTACTGACGACGAAGCAGAAGTAGACACACCAGAAGATCATAAAAAAGTGGGCCAAATCCGGGGCTGCCGTCTTCAGTGTGGCGGCCACGATGGCCAATCGCGGCTGCGCTTCAAAGGATCTGAAGATTCTGAGCATGATGATCAACGGATAGATCATCATCTGAAGCTCCATATCTTTCTTGGCCTTGCTCATGACCTCGGCACTTGCAAAAACGTTTCGCGCGATCTCCTCGTAGCCCGCGTCTGGGGCAAGGCTGGCTTGGATCATGGCTGGCATCAACTCGTTAACCTAGGTTCCCCAGTAGCCCCTAAAGAACAAGGGTACCTTTTTTCCTACTATTTGGCTTTATCAAGGGAAACCAAAAAGAAAAAGGGCAAAAGGGTACCACTGGGGAACCTAGTAACAGCAGACACAGCTAGCCGGCCCTGTATCCAAAAGCTGATCGTCAGCGTACCAACAAGCACCGACATCCAGTCAACGAAGTTCCAGAAACCCAGGTACTCTTGCCACAAGGACTTGTAGAAGCGCTTGCTTGACTGCCGTACTGTGCTAATAATCTCCCATATCTCGGCCACAGCTGCATAGAGCAGCGCAGCGATCCACAGTATCCCAGCAATGATCGTCAGAACCAACTCTGAGAAGGGTCGCAGAAATGGATTGACGAAGGCGGACAGGCAGTGCGTGAAGGCGTGGATGTGACCACCACGATTCATCATAAAATTCACAGAGAGATACGTGTAGGCTCCATACTGGGCATTGAACAGCAGCATACTGATTTCGATCCGCGCAGTCCGTTCATCTATCCAAGGCTGACTCGGAGTTTGCGCTTTACACCACTCGCAAAGGCAACTCTCGAGGCTGTTTGAAAGGGATGCAGAGTGGCAACCGTCCTCCATATCCAACAACTTTCGAGTCATTTCGCTCATGCTCGATATATCCGGGAACAGAAACTCCTGGCGCTCCAGACCTTGAAAGTTTTCCGCCTCTTGAAGTTCCGGCGACAGCAAGCCCAACTCAGAGGGGAAACAGGGCTTCTGCAGCCAAGCCCTCTGTTTCTGACCGTCCAACAAGCTGGGGAAGATGCAATGCTCCGATGCAGCAGCTGACACAGTCTGCCTCATCCGGACCCCGCTGACAAGCTTGGAATACTGGAGATGATCGTTTGCCACAGGCGCGGGCTTCTCGTAGCCGGCGAATAGCCAGGACTGTGGCAAGGTAGCCCTGTGGTGGTCGAAGTTACGGTATACGCTCTATTTTAAGGTACATGCTTAAAAGATGTAGCATGAAGAGATGCATCTTCAGCGGCAGCTTACGATCGCAAGGAACCTCTTGGGACAATGCATGAGTACGAGAAGAGAGTTGAGCAGAACTGGTCAATGACCACAAGCTCCTAAGACCCATGAACAACCCCAGACAGCCCTCTACCAATGCAAAATCCAGTGAAACACCGACCCTGCCTAAACCCTAAACCCGAAGCCCCAAATCCTAGACCCCAAGCCCCAGCCTGTTGTACGAGGTTCCCGCAGTCACCGGCCCGCCGAGAATCTCAGGTGCAACCTCGCTGTAAAGCCACTGAGACCTGGCATCCCCCTTATATCAAACCCGGGCGGGACCCCCGCCCCTCGAATAGAAACTCGAAAGGTGTTTCTTTATGTAAGCCCACTGTCACTTTCGCGGGTTCTTGCTCCTGCTCCTGCTCTTGCTGTCGCTCCCGCTATTGCTCTTGCTGCTGCGCTTGCCGTTGCTGCTACTCCTGCTCTAGCTCTTGCTGCTTCTCGTGCTCCTGGTCCTGCTCATGCTTCTGCTCTTGCTCCCGCTCTTGCTCCTGCTGAACCCCCCAAAAATCCAAATCAGGTCCTCAACAGCCGGATGATTTCAGGGAGGTTTTGAAACACAACCGCCGCACGGAATTATGAGGGACAGGGGAAACGGGAAAGAAGGCTACATGTTACATGTTCATCAATCAAGCCTTACTGATGTCTGTGTGAAATAAGCGCGAGAGCACAAGCACCAGAAAACTCACTCCGATGGCGGTTGCGGCACTGATCACTACCGTTGTCGTAACCAGAAGTCTCATCACGTTTCTTATCTTTTCCTCCTTTAGAGGACAAGGGCCGCGACTAAGTACTTTTCTCCTACGAGTACTAGTGCTACTACGAGTACTACTATGCCTGCTGCTGCGACCACCACTTCTTCTACTACTTCTTTTATTTACTACTACTACTACTACTACTACTACTTCTACTACTACTATTATTATTATTGTTATTACTACTACTACTACTACTACTACTACTACTACTACTACTACTGGTAAGTACTAGTACTACTAGTACTAGTACTAGTACTAGAGTCAGTAGTAGTAGTACTAGTAGTAGTAGTAGTAGTAGTAGTAGTAGTAGTAATATTAGTAGCAGTAGTAGCAGTAGTAGTAGTAGTACTACTACTACTACTAGTAGTAGTAGTAGTAGGACTACTACTACTACTGCTACAACTA